GGTTTCTACCTGTGCGCCAGGAATATTGACTCTTTCTTTTTATGTCCTCAGGGCACAGAAGTTCAGGTTGATGACATCAAGCGTGTATACTCCCTGTTCCTGGATGAGTCACGCTCCACTCAATACATGAAAGAATATCAAGATGCTTTTATGTTTAATGAACTCAGTGAGTAAAAGTATGAGCGAAGAATAATCAGAGTCCCAGTCCCAAAATCACGTTCCCTTCTAGCAGCCATTTTTCCTAATGGCAACAATTATATACTGTGCTGTTAAAAAAAGCAATGTGCTAAATTATCTATCAAAAGTACATTATGGCAATATGTTATATGAACTAATTCTATTGAAATTAAGACTTAATCAGCAAGCATACAAATTAATTGCAAACAACTCAGCTCTAACTTCAGCCAGGCCATCAAAGGTTAGGACTCCACATACTATGTTTGTTATTCTTTTATGGTAATGTGAATGATTGAGGATGTAGCAAGCTTTTCCATAGCAAAAGGCCATCCTGTTATAGTTTGTCTGCCAGAAAGTATGAAAGCTGCTAAACAGAATATGAAATGGGAATATCGTACAAAATGATCCAAGATGCAGACTGACAAGTATGGGTACTTTTGATTCTAGTGCCCTTTACTTGATCATTGGTCTTGAGTGCTGGAAGCCTCCTAATATAATTTTGTAAAAAGAATTCTGTGATTACGCGGGAACTTCATAGAGTTAAAATTTTAAGACCATGTCCTCTTAAACAACATCCTTATTTACTGAGGATGATCTCTCACTCGTCCCCCAAATAATCTTGGCAGAGTTTCTCCATCTTGATGTTTTGTTTTTATTTTTCAGAAGGGGAGACCATGGATACAACATGATGAAATTTAAATACCCAGAGCAGACGGGAGTGTGAATCGATATTCCTTTATGTTGTTAGTTTTTTATACAAATAAAACAGAATTTACTGAATTTCTGCTTGCTTTGAATTGCGAAGCCAACAAAAATCACCATTTTTAGTATTTCAGTAACTGCTTCCTACGTGTCTTTACTGCTTTTTGCTCTGTAAATATGGTGCTTTCCTTAAAACAGATTTAAGTCTTAAATTCTGCAAGCTTTTTTTCTGCGACACCTTTTGACTCTCATAAAAGAATTATTATATACAATGACGAATTAATTCTGTTGCTGGCATTATCGTTTTCCATTCCTTATGAAGTCTCCCCCCCCCCCAACCTATAAAATAGCCCATATTGTTGAGTGGAGAGATTTACAAGAAAAGACAACAGCAGTTTGACTTGCAAAATTTTATTTCACATATCTTCTGGAAAAAAGTCATCATAGGAATGTCTCTGCCCCCTTTAAAGTTTGCGCCAGTTACAAAGTTTGACCAGCAGAGAGAACTTAGGCACTCCATAAATGTGCCTTCTCTGGCAAAGGCAGGACAGTAAAACAATCATGTTCAATATTACGTTGTTGGTTTATCCTTCTGAAAACTGCCGGTAAAGTGATTCCAATTTGGAGTCTGTAAACTGAGGCACAAAATTAATCTTGAGAATTTCAGAGAAACCCTCCTCGAGGGATGGCTCCACATACTTACTCCTGTCAAAAAGAAAAATAATCATTAAGTAGTCCCCAGGGTTGGGGATATTTGCAGAGCTTTGTTTAACCATGCTATTGGATTTTTGCAAGGATGGAAAAGTGCCAAGAAAGCTGCCTGAAGAAAGCAAGTCGATGGTGACAACCCCATGACCTATTGGGTAATTATTCTTTCCAGATGTAAATAATGACAGGTTTGCATCAACCCCCCCCCCCCCTTCACAGGAGGCCCAGTCAAGTCTCTTCTATCTCGTCCCTGCAGGTGGGAGGTGGAACAAAGGGAGCCAGGAACTGTGAGGAAAACTGCACGTCTACTTCTCATTCCAGTGTGTCCCAAATGGCCCCCTCCTTCCAGGAGTAAGAGGCTTACCTATCAACAGCTAGTGCACCTAAGGCAACACTTCCTCTCCCCCTAGTGAATCCTATCTCTCCAACAAACACTGAAGCTGTTCCCTTGTCTTTCCTCACCAGCCATCACTGTTAGAGAGAATGTAATTTTTGACCTCAGTTGCAAAGCAGGCAATGGCTGGTTGGCCATAGAGACCAGAGGGACACAGGAAACAGGGTGGGGTATGTCTTTCCCATCTTTCCTTGCATAACACAACCTGTAGGTTCATGGAAGTATAATTGGAAGGCATAGCACTGAAGGGATTCCAACTTCCCCAAATTTCATTATCATGGGGATCATGGATTCTGGCATTCTTGTATATTGGCCCATTAGAATTGCCTTAGTTCAGCGGTGTCAAATGATCTCTTTGAGGGCTGGATCAGCATTGTAGTTCTCCATGGCCCAGCATTGTGGAGAGACGACCGATGCCTCCAGCACCCTGCCAGCCAAAAAGGGTGCAGAGGGGCCATGCATGCCCCCCCACACTCAATTTTCAGCCTGGATGGTCTCCTGCAGCACTTTGTTAGCCAAATGGTGTGTGGCTGAGCCATACAGCCCGCCCCCCCTGTGCCTTATTTTTGGCTTCTGCAGCATTCGGGCAAAATCGGGCCATGCAGAGGCCTTGCAAAACTCCCATGTGGCCCATTTTCAGCCTCCCCAGCCTCCAGCAGCAGGTCCCCATGCAGCATATTTTTGGCCAGCAGAGTGCTACTGGAGGCTGGGGAGGCCAAAAATGGGCCAGATTTAAGCACCCGTGGGATGGATCTGGCTCACAGGCCTTGAGTTTGACACCCCTGACTTAGTTGAACAATTGTTGCCCTACACTTTCCAATTTCACCCACTTGAAGCTTACAGATATGCACGTTTTATTTCTTTATAGACAAATAAAGAAAAGGAGGAATTTTACTCATTGATTATATTTGGCAGGGCAAGCTTATCAGTAACTTAGCACTGAAAATTAGCTTTTTGAATTCAGCTTTGGAAATAATTAGCTAACTCTTCTAAATCTCCAACAAAAGTAACTTAACTACTCTGGGAAGAATAGATGCCCAGGAAGGACTAATTTTCCATTCCAGTTCACTCTTCAGATTTTCAGAAACTTACTTATAGGTATTCAATACAATGTTGTTGACTGGCACATGGTCTTTCTCTGTCATCTCTCGGAACTAAAAAGGAAAAAGGGTTCTAGTCAGCAGGGGATAGCGATGGGGAAAATAAATTGGACAATACTTAATTTTTAAAACAAATACAGTATAGGGAATCCTTAGCTTATGACCACAACTGAGCCCGTTTTCTGTTGCTAAGTGAGAAAGTGATTAAATGAATTTTGCTCCATTTTACAACCTTGCAGAATCACCACTGTTAAGTTAGTAACAAGGTTGTTAAGGTAATCTAACTTCCCCATTGATTTTGCGCAAAACATGAACACATGATCCCAGGATACTGCAACATTCATAAATACGGATCAATTGCCACACATCCAAATTCTAATCACATGACTGGGGGTGCTGCAATGGTCGTGAATATGAAAAATGGCCATAAGTCACTTTTTTCAGTAACATAACTTCAAAAGGTTGCTAAATGAACAGTTGTAAGTCAAAGTCTACCTGTAGTCCTCAAATTCCAATGACAATTGGGATCAGAATTTCCACTGCTAAGCGATGCGCTTGAAAAGTGCCATGACATTTTTTAGTGATAATAATATCAGTTGCCACTGTTAACAAGGGCAACTTCCTGCCGGCTTTTCATAACCCAAATCAGTGGGAAGATGCAAGCCCTAAGTGGCTCACATACAGGTAAGTAGCTGCTGCTGGGCGGGGGAGGGTGCAAGAGAGATTGACAAGGGTCAAGGAGGGATCAAGAGGATGTACAAGGGAGGGGAGGGGAGGCTGGGAGAAGGTGCAAGGGAGATACAGCAAGGGTTAGGATGTGCAGGAAGTTCAGTTAAGTTTTTAAGGGCAGTACATCTTCTTTATTGGAATATTTTAAATCAAGAAGTTCTTGTACATATGGAGAGGGACAACAGAATATCACTTATCTACAGAGAACCCAGATACTAATTTGGCTTGTGGGATAAATAATTTTTAGGAAGGGCTTTGTCAGGTCTTATTAAGACTAGAGAATCAGATCTTTCACCTTCAAAGACAGAATACTTGTACTAGAAGAAACTGCAAGCTACCAATGCTACATTCATCTTTAAGCAAAAGTGTGATTTATAGCAAAAAAAATAAAAAATAATATTGAAAAGATGTGCTGGGTACACCCATGCTATCTGTCAAAGTCTCTTGAAGCACCTTCTTCAAATCTGAACAGTGGCACATTTCTAATCTGTACTTGCACCTCATCTATTTCTGAAATGCCACAATTTATACACAGTTCTCCGAAGTAGCCTGTGTGGGGAGTCATTGATGGGTTATTCTCATATCCAATCTGCCCTGAGACTGAGGTTAAAGTTGAGGCCACTCCCCTCTACTTCCTCTGCATGGCTCCAATTTAATCTCAGTCTCGGCCCGAATCAGTACTGTTTTTGCTTCAAATTGGACTTGAGTGTTTGTTTTTTTCCTTCTTTTCTCCTTCCTTTCCTTCCTCACCTCCTCTCCTAGCGTCTGTGTGTGTGTGTCTTGCATAAGCTGTGCTTTGCTACTTTGTGAGGCTCTACCGTACTGCTGGGCGGTTGTGGGGCTCCAGGCCAGGCGCCAAGGGGCGCTGGGAGCCACAATCCCCCTATTCCATCTGGGGGGGGGTGTTGCTAGATCAGAAAAGAGGCTCCTAGAGGAGCAGCTCGGCAGAGCTCACTTGGAAGCATCGGATCGCATGGTTGGCGGTCGCCATTTTGTTGAAGGTGGCCATTTTGAGAGGCGCACATCCTCTGATGTGCGGCTGCTGCAGGACATTAAGAAGCTGATGGTGGCTACCCAGTTTTCAGCAGGCACCACGCTGGATGCAGTTAAGTACTCCTCTAGAGCCCTGTCCTCTTCAGTGGCATCCAGACATCTTCTCTGGTTGCTGCAGGCAGATACCAGATCAAAGTGGAACCTGGCAGCAGCTGAGTATGCCGGAGACAAATTGGTGCTTACCTTGATCCTATTCTAGTGGAAGATAAAAATAAGTGCAGGATCCTCCCTTCCATGGCCAAGCTCTCTGATCAGTGTCCAGCCCCTTATCCAAGGAGGCCTCCATACCGGCTTCCTGGCCAACACTTCCAACAACAGAGATATTCTTCCCCAGATACTCAAGGCAAGAGGACAGACAATACTCTAGGGACAGGGACAGGTACTAGCAGCCCAGTAAATTGCTTTCGAGGGGGCGGGTGGCCGTCCCTATCACAGAAACAAGTGATTTGGATCAGATCACCCGAATGGCGGCTGCCTTACCTTGTTTTCAGATCCCTGGAACTGCACCACCACTGATCCTGGGTCCTTCAGACTGTTAGGTTTGGTTGAGGTTAGAGTTCCGCTCCCATCCTCCGAATAGATTCCATCTCTTTTCTTCCTCTAGGAACCAGGTAAAACGTAAGCTCATGCACAAGGCTATTCAGTATCTGATGGATATCCAAGTGGTGGAGCTGGTTCCAGAGGGAGAGAAGAGGTTAGGGTTTTATTCTAACTTGTTCGTAGTTCCCAAAAGTTCAGGGAGTTGGAGAGTGATCCTGGATTTGAAGGTGTTGAATACTAGGTTAGTATATCATAAGTTTAAGATGGTGTCCCTAAAGTCCATCTTTGAGGGGATTAGACAAGGGGACTTCCTGGCATCCATTGACATCACGGAGGCATACCTCCATATCATGATATTCCCAGAACACCATACGTTCCTTAGGTTTTCCTATAAGGGGATCCATTATCAATACAGGGCTCTCCCTTTTGGCTTGACGTCAGCTCCCAGAACCTTCACCAAGGTCCTGGCGGTGGCCATGGGTCATCTCTGCTCTGTTCCGGTCCACTTATAGTGCTACTGGATGATATCCTCATCCAGGCAGTGACTTCAGACCTGGTTAAGGAAGATCTGGGTCGCACGATTAACACCTTGCAGACCCTGGAGTTCTCGATCAATTTCGTGAAGAGTTATCTGGACCCCACCACTAGACTTCAGCATTTAGGGGCTGTCATTGACATAGTGGAGTGTGAGGTGTTCCTTTCTCAGGACTGTAGGGACAGTATTCTGGGGTTGATTAAACAGATTTGCAAGGCATGCTCTGTTCCTGTAATTCTTCTCTCTCGGCTCCTGGGAAAGTTTATCTCGTGCATCATGATTGTACCATGGGCCTCTGCGCCAGGGAGCTGCAATGGTTACTACTTCCCCACCAGAGGGACAGAACCAGTGATGCCTTCTACAAGATTCTTGTGCCGCCCCAGGTTTTTCTGCCCTTCCATTGGTGTCCCCAGCGCTGCCAGGAGCTCCCTGTTCAGGGAGCCAGACAGGTTGGTCCTGATGACAGATGTGAGTCTTTTAAGTTGGGGAGCTCACCTGGAATCCCAGATAGCCCAAGACTGGTGGATACCCATGGACCTGCGAAAAAACATAAATTGGCTGGAGCTCAGGGCAAGGGTCAGCCATCAACATGTCCTGGCCCTGATGGACAAGGTTGCTGCCAAGGCCCATGTCAACAAACAAAGGGGCACTCACTTGCTTGTACTTTGAGATGAGGCAGTGCAACTGGGAAACTGGGTGGAATGGCATCTTGTGTCGATACAAGTGGAACATATCTCTGGGTGGAGAACTAGCAGGCAAACTGGCTCAGCAGGAAGACGGTGGACCACGGAGAATGGCAGTTACATCCCAGCATTTTCAACGACATTTGTTGGAGGTTCGGTTGGCCAGCAGTGGATCTCTTTGCTACCCCGTCCAACTCCCAGGTCCGGAACTTCATCTCACAGTTCCCAGCTCGAGGGGCAGTAGCCATTGACATCTTGCATTGCAGATTGCCAGCGGGTCTCCTCTACGCCTTTCCCCCTCTCCCTCTCATTCCCGGGGTTCTCAGGAAATTAGTGTTAGAGAGGGCAGAGGTGATCCTTGTAGCACCATATTGGCCCTGGCGATCTTGGTTTGCTGACCTGGTGGGGCTGTTGGTCCTTCCCCATTGAAGGATTCCATGGGGGGGAGGGGGGAGGGAAAGTGGCTCTGCATCAAGGGAACCTAGTTCATCCGGAGCCCAAGTGGCTTCAGTTGACTGCTTGGCACTTGAGCGGGAGCAATTGAGGGCGGCCCAATTCTTGGCCAGAGTGATCAAGACCATTGAGGCATCCCGTAGGCAATATATCACCCGCATTAACAATGCGACTTGGTCCTCTTTTGTGTCCTGGTGCCGGTCCACAGAGGTGGATCTGGCTTTGACAACGCAGGTGCTGGTGTTCCTTTAGGATGGTCTTGAGAAGAGTCTATCCCACAACATCCTCAGGAAGCATGTTGCAGTATTGCTACAGTCCCTGGGGGGCTCTCATTCCCTAGCGCAGCACCCAGGCATTGAGGTTTCTTAGAGGGGCGGCTAATCTTAGGCCACCCGTGGTTCACCGGTTTCCTACATGGGACCTACCCAGGGTGTTCCAGGTACAGACCAAGGCTCCATTTGAGCCTTTGAGGACAATAAGTCTTCAGTTCCTCACCCTTAAGGTTGTTTTTCTGATGGCGATTAATTTCGCCAGACACGTATCAGAACTCAATGCCCTGTCATCTAGGGCTGACCTATGCAAATTTCATGACAACAGGGTCGTTCTTAGGCTTGATCCCTCCTTCTTGCCCTAGATTAACTTTCCTTTCCATAGGCCTCAGGTGGTGGTTCTCCCGGACTTCTGTCTGGTGCCCTCCAAGGAGAGGGAATGGTCCTGGCATCGCCTGGACTTGAGAAAGCACTGTGTATTTATCTGAAACACACTTCAAGAAGTTGGAGGCGATCTTTGTCTCCTTCCAGCCCTCCACCCTAGGGGCTAGGGTGTCACCAGCTACCATCGGCAGATGGATTAGGCAGATGGATTATCACTAGAGCATATGAGGCACGAAGGCTTCCGGTGCCGGTTGGCATCACAGCGCACTCCACTAGAAGTGCAGCCATGTCTGCAGCCTGGTTGACCCAGGCGCCCATCGAGGATATTGTAGGGCAGCCACTTGGGCTTCGCCCTTGCCTTTCATCAGACACTATCGGCTGGACACTTACATTTCAGCTGAGGCCTCTTTTGGTAGGAGGGTACTGCAGGGAATGCTGGACACTCGAGGGGCTCAGGCCCAGTGATTCCCTCTCATGAACATCAAACTTGGACATGTCCCATCAGTGACTCCTCCCACAGGCTACTTCAGAGAATGTCAGTTGGTCTTACCTGAACTGCATTTCTCGAAGTCCTGTGGGATGAATTACTTCTCACCCTTGTTAAGAGTGCTTTGCTAGGGTCCTGAGCTAGATTTAATGGCTATTGGGTCAGTCAGGGTCCTGGGGTTTGGGGTGTTGTCTTTCCTATACCCTTCTTTCCCAGGTTCTTCTTTGGAACACTGACCAATTAAACTGGAGCCATGCAGAGGAAGCAGAGGGGAGTGACCTCAACTTTAACCTCAAGTCTCAGGGCAGATTGGACATGAATATAACCCATCAGTGACTCATCCCATAGGACTTCGAGAAATACAGTCCAACTGACATTTGGTACTGCCCTGTGCCAATGGTTCCAGAATTACATTCCTTGTTGGATTATAAGAGAAAAGGAGGAAAGTTTGCAAGTCCTCAAAAGGGGGAGTGGGGATGGGGTCTGGATTCAAAGAAATTTGCTTTCCCAAGTGAAGAAAGTATATCATGGTATAAGGCAGTGTTCCTTAATCTCAACAACTTTAAAATGGATGGACTTTTTGAAATTCTGCCTTTATTATTTTCACAGTTCAAGATAAATTATTATGAAAGATGGTGAACAAGCCTAATACTCCTTCTTTTTCCTATTTTACCTTTTAAAACTCTGTGTGGCAAGTTGAACTCAGACAGAGTAACTAGCCCAAAATCACCCAACTGTCTTTTATACTTAAAGGAGGACCAGAACTTGCAGCTTGCTGGTTTCTGGCGGTGCCTCCACCACTAGACTGAGCTGGTTGACTAGGAATTGAAGTCCACCCATCTTAAAATAGCTGAGATTGAGAAACAATGATCCAAATACTTACTCTGTTGTTATGCTTGGCTTGTTCCAGTGAGGCAGTAAAAAGAAAGCAGCGGCAGGGAACGCTGGCCTTCTTAGCACATTCAGTGTACCTAGATAAGGGAACAGCATTTTAATTTCTCAATTTATCTGATTATTTTCTATCTTTGGGCTTGCAGCTTAGACATTATCTACTAAACTTAAGGGATGAACCTTACCTGCGTCTCGATTCCAGTTCTGGGTTGGTATTATCCACTACTACACTCTTTCCTGCTTGCAATGATGTTTCACACAATGCCACACATTTCTTCCATGAACCAAGGGTGTCCTTAAAGGGAGAAAGGCAAGATATAAAGGAAGGAAGCAAGCAATAAAGCAGGACGAGAAGAGTTTTAATCTCTCATTGCTTACCTGGTTGACATACGCATATCCAACTGAGACTAAATGTCTCTTCAAAAAAGTTGATTTGCCAGCTGGAGTGGGCAGGAAAAGATAGAGGAAGTATGAACAGTGGGGTATAGCAGAGATTTCTAAAAGTCAACAGAACTCAAGGAACATCATCAATACATGCCTTAATACGTGCATACATTTTTAAAAAATAGCATCCATGTTCCTTGCAACATTCACAACTAGTAGTCAAAAGGCACGATAAAAATTCCTTAATTTCACAACACTTGGACAGACTTAACCAGTTTCAACTGGGACCACATTTGACCAAACCAAATCCAAAAACTGGAGAATTCCAAGAAGCTTGAAAATGGCAAATTGGTCATTAATAGACATCAACAACATCAATATATCATTAAAAAGAGACAATCAACAAGCCAAAGGGGGAACCAAAATTCCCCTAACACCTCCACACCAGCAATCAACACCCTCATTAGTCACAGTTAACACCAAGACTAACTAGCCAACAATCAAGAAGCAAACAATATCCCAATTAAGGAATTGCGAAACAAGCTAACAATAAACAGCCGAACCAAACCACCACTCCCACTAACACTAACAGGATAAACCACTAGAATGTAAAATGAGAGCAAAGCCTACTCTCTATTAGCAATGACAATGTTACTTAGCTCAGGTAATGTCTGCAAGAAAACAGCCAAGCTCAGAGAGCACCAAAGACCCCTCACTTCAACCCTGAGCTACAAATATTCTCTTATCTGGTAGGGCTGTGTGACATTCCAGATTGACACTGGAAAACAGGATTCAGACTGAATGTGGAACTCATAATAGAATTTCTTAAATTAAATATGAATTTTCCTGGAACTTGCCAATAGATCAGTTCCAATCACTGTTTCTCTTTTGAAACAGGATCACTGCATAATCTTCATTTCTTAGACATCAAGACTGAAAAGGAAATGTGTTTTTCAGAATATTCCTTTTCTACAACACAAACCTCTTCTGAGGTACAGATTATCTCATTTTCTTGAAATGAGATTGAAAGGTTTCTTTACACATTAACTCATGATTAAATGAACTATTTGGTCATTAACTAAATTCCAGACTTCACAGTGCACTCTATACTAATCAACCACTTATTAGACAAACGTAAACAACTAGCAATTACACTTAGGCTTATATACCACTTCACAGTTCTTTACAGCACTTTCTAAGCAGTGCCCAGAATCAGCATATTGACCCCCAAACAATCTGGGTCCTCATTTTACTGGACCTTGGAAGGATGGAAGGCTGAGTTAATGTTGAGCCGTTGAGAATCAAACTGCCAAACAGCAGTTGGCAAGTCAGTAGAATTAGCCTGCAGTATTGCATTCTAAACACTGTGCCAACATGGCTCATCGAATGGTTGTGAGTGAAACTAGTTCTGGGCTCACCACTTGAGCCCTATGGAAATCTCCTGGCAGATGACAAGACCAAAAGCTCAGAGAAGCTCAGGCCTTGAAGACTTCATGTATTGCATTACTACTGTTCTCCCATTAACCTTAATATTTGAAGATGACACTGCATGAATGCTGAGGTTGCAAAGATCATCACTCACCAGCAGGGAAGCCAACAGCTATAACCAGCTCTGAGGAGGATGAGATCAAGGAGGCATTGGGTGGATCATACAGTTCAGCTTTAGGGTCCAATGCTCGCTAAATTAGGGGTTAAAGAGAAAATCAGTGTTCTAATACTAGAATACAAACTTGAATTCTGGATGTGCTCTGCAAATCTTGAATGTGCTTAATTTTTTTACCCGTTCTCCTAGTTTTGCAGCTTGTTAGATCTTACTTATCAGTAATGTGAAAAACCACACATTTTTCAAGAGTACTAATGCAATGAGAACGTAAACGAACATAGCTTAAAATAATGGCTAGTTTGTGAAAGAGACAGCATTTGTAGTTGTTGTTTTCAACAACTCATTATTTTAACCTGGTGCACTTTCTAGATGATCTCAAGTTACAGTGACAAAAAGCTAGGCAGTCTTGATCCAGTCAATATTTTAATTATCTTCAACCTCTTGCTGAACATGCCAAAAGACAATGGCAACTGCTTTTTGCCAAGAAAACCGCTTGATGATGTCATATGATCATAAAAAGTCCGCAAACGGTTTCCAGTCTCTTATAAAGCTGCCTAGTCCATTATCTCTAATCAAGGCAGTTAATTTCACCATTCTCTGCTAATTCAGTCAGTTCCAAAATCCATTCTTCAACAGTCGGCATCCCATTTTCTTTCCAGTGTTTTGGAAGTACAATCCTCACAATGGTCACCAGATGAAGGAATAGCACCCCATATTATTTTACTTTTTATGATAAAACAATACATAATATAAAAAATATTGATACAAATAAATAAATAAATGCTGGAAGAGAAGCTGGTGGGTTGGTTTTTTTTTTTAAAAAAAAGAGAGAGACAGAGAAGTGACTCACAGGATCAAAGTCGGGGAGTGCAAACGGTGCCTGTTTCCAACCCAGGAAATATTCTTCAGGAGTGTAGAAGGGAAGGCCAGCATTCAAAGCAAACTGTGTGAATAAATAGGATAGCTTTTAATGTGGAGGAAGCCTCCTGAAGATATGTGTGCTCAGATCTATCCAGTTTACCTCTGATTCTGTTCATTTTGCGTCATGTTTCTAAGTTTGCTGGAAATCTGAATCTGGGACCAAAACTGAGATAAAGCATATAATCTTTCACCCTCGGAGATTTCACTACTGATACGTTTTCTTTCTTGTTTACAAACTAAGAGATAATAGCTTGTTTTGGAGCAGGAATAGAATAGAATCTGGAAGGGACCTTGGAGGTCTTCTAGTCCAGCCCCCTGCTCAAGCAGGAGAACCTATACCATTTCAGATGTGAGTGTCTAGTATCTTCTTAAAAATCTCCAGTGATGGAGCGTCCACGATTTCTGAAGGTAAGATGTTCCACTGGTTAATTGTCCTCACCGTTAGGAAGTTTCTCTTTAATTTCAGGTTACTTCTCTTTTTTATTAGTTTCCAACCATTTTTTCTTGTCCTGCCCTCTGGAGAATAATTTGACCCCCTTTTCTTTGTGGCAGCTCCTCTAGTACAGGAATACTACTATCATATCTCCCTAATTCTTCTTTTCTTTAGACTAGCCAAACCCAAATCCTGCAGCCATTCTTCATGTGTTTTAGTTTAAAAGAAAAAGGTTCAGTCTGGCTGCCAAATTTCTTACTGGATATAAAGCTAAAGCTTTTTTTTTTTTTTCAATTTCAGAAGTTTATAATTTTTGATACAGAAAATAATTACTGTAGCTCTTAAAGCAGTGCTGGGAGAACCTCTGGGTCTTGCTGAATATTGCTGAATTACAAATCTGAGCACCCCCAAAGTCACAGGATTCCTGTTCATACATGAAAATGAGTAAATTGGAAGGAATGATGAAGATGTGAAGACTACCAACTCATAGCTTATATTCTATGCCGATGCAATGCTAGCTCTGACTGTGGAGAATTGCATATCCCTGCAACTTTTCTGCATTTTTTTCTCAACAATAAACCCCTGCAAATTCCTATTTTTCACTGCTTAGACTGCCAAATCCTTCCTAGACCTTTAATCATCTTTGTCTGCCCCAAGAAACATAATGTTACAGCCCTGTTTAGGTTAATTATGACTTCTATAATTTAGCATAATTATTTTGAACTTTGGCAATTCTTACATTCAAAGAAGTGACCAGATATATAATTCTGGCTAAGTTTTCCTATTTATTTATATGATATATTAGATATTTAAAGAGGGGAAAATTAAGTGAGGGAGGTAAAAGTATTTTAGTAAATAAGTAAGAAAAGTTTTAAAAAGTACCTAACATGGTTAGAAAAATAGGCTACCAATTTTTGAAATATTTTTGAAATGTTGGGTTTACCTCAGAGGAGAAAATAAATAAATTCATAAACACTGAATCAGACTGAAAGTTGCAAGGCAAACCCATTGTCACACAGAATTCTGCACACATAGTGCTTGTGTCAAACTATTATATAGACAACTAGAGACTTATTAATCATCTTGAAAACTGGATTAAAGACAAAAGAAACAGCAAGGGATATGGATGTTTTCAAATTATTTATATTTTCATCCCAGAAGTTCAATATGATTAATCCCGAGACAAGAAATACTGTAAGACATAAGAAGGAGTAAGTTTTCTCTCTTACCAGACGGTCACTGCAAGAAAAATCTTTCTTCTTCTGTCCAGGGGCCCAGTTTGCTGGACGTCCAGCAGCATCTATGAAACAGAAGAAAGATATGAACACACCCATTGCCATGAGATGGGAAACTGATCACTTGGATATCAGTAATAAATTTAAAAACTGGGCTTTGATTTTGAAGGCTTAGAAAGTATCATTGGCCAGGATAAGTACTTTCTGAGAGTGAGTCAAATCTACTCTCTATTGTTATATCAAATGGCCTTCCTGGTGGCGGAACTCATCCTGGTGGCATATGGTTAGAATGTAGTACTACCGGCTAACTCTGCCCACAGCCAGAAGTTCGATCCTGACGGACACAAAGTTGACTCAGCCTACCATTCTTCTGAGGTCAGTAAAATGATGACCCAGATTACTGGGGGCAATACGCTAACATTGTAAACCACTCAGAGAGTGCTATAAAGCACTACAGGATGGTTTATAAGTCTATGGTGCTATTGCTATTGCTTCCTTTATGCTTGACTCACCTCCTACATAGACACTTTCTTGCAAAGACACTTCTAAGCCACCATTTGCCTTGAAGAAAGGGGAGAGAGAGAGAGAAAGGGAAAATCCAGACATGGAATAGCAAACTATGATTTTGCTCCTTCCCAGCCCTTTTCATACACACACCCTCTTTTAGTACCTTTTTGCACAGATAATCCCACATGCCAAGGACAGGTTTGCGGTACATTCCTGAATGAGTTGCCACAAAGACCTGCGGAGAAAGGGATGTAATAAAAGTGAATATTCCAGTTGGGCCTGGATTCCATCCTTCCCTCAGAAGCGGATTCTTACTTTTAGCAATTACCATTTAGGTCCCAGTCCATGATCTGAGTTGAATCTTACAATAGTTATTCATTAATTATAATTATATAAATAATTATTTAATAATTACTGCTCTACTCCCAATATTATAATAATTATTCATTAATTATAATTATATAAATAATTATTTAATAGTTACTAGTCTACTCCCAATTAATGAATTTCACTCAATTCCTCACAGGTGAACATAGATGAATGAGGAGTTGGAACATTTCTGCAAGATTATCCATTTGGGATGCCTGATTCATCTTTTATGACTTCAAAATGACAATGTATCTGTAGCAACTGTAAGAGATTACAAGTGCACAAGCAGCAAACAGATACAACTTTTGAAGAGAAGGAGCAAAGCGGCCATTCATTTTAACTAAGGGTCAATGGCTATCATTATTTTCTTTCTTTCTTTCTTTCTTTCTTTCTTTCTTTCTTTCTTTCTTTCTTTCTTTCTTTCTTTCTTTCTTTTTTCCTTTATTTATTTATTTATTTATTTATTTATTTATTTATTTATTTATTTATTTATTCATTCATTCATTCATTCATTCATTTATTTATTTAATGCGACCAAAAAAAATGCTGTAGGGGAACATAGCTTGGAGAGATAAGAAACCTTCCCCAATTTGCCAAAAACAATTCTACATAAAAACCTACGTGCTACTTGTGGTATAGTTTTCCTTTAAATCCTAATGGACCCACAAGACATCTTAATAACAAAATAAAAACCATACTATTAAAATATAAAATGGAAGAGAAGCATCTGACAGCGATATGAATAACATGCAAAATAAAACATAACAAAATTAGCTACAGGATAATGGTTACTTATTACCTTTAAATTTTCTCTGAAATAGAATAGAGTTCCCTAGAGTTCCATGCCAAATATTAGGAATGATGGAATTGCAAATTCAACCCATCTAAAAAAGGACAGCAAATGAGACAATGCAATGGAAATGTCATAATCTGCTGCTTGAATTCTTAATTAGAAAGTGTCAGATCCCTAAAAGTGATACTACCATTCATTAGTATCATACATAAATCATTAGCTACATCTGAAACAACTGAGTTTTACAACTTTACAACTGGTTTCTTGTCACCGGGAGACTGAAGGTCCCAACATCTCTGGAGGGATGTTTATGGTAGCCATGTGGGATAAACTCCCTAAACCCAAGATGTATAGCATGACTCCAAGGGAGTTGGAAGAACTGAGGGCATTCATTGAAAAAAACCTAGCAAGGGGTTTCATTGAACCAGCCTGACCAAAAGTTGCAGCCCCGGTGTTGTTTCGAGAGAAAAAAAAGATGGCTCCAAATGCTTATGTGTTGATTTTAGAAATTTAAATTCAATCAGTATGGCAAATGTATATCCTCTCCCACTCATGAAGGATATGCTAGTATACCTAGCCAAAGGAAGAATTTTTTCAAAGCTGGATTTAAGGGAGGCTTGCTACTGTAACAGGATTAAGGAGGGAGATGAATGGAAAATAGCATTTAACACCCCTCTTGGATGCTATCAATTCAAAATGCTACCATTTGGGCTACAAGGGGCCCCTGCAGTATTTATTCAATTAATAAACAAAGTGTTGTGGGAGCATCTATATAAGGGCTGCATAGTCTATATTGATGACATTATATTATATTCTGAGACCAAGGCAGAACATGTAAAACTAGTCTGGGCGATTCTGAACAAAATTTGCTCTGCAAAACTTTATGCTAAACTCTCCAAATGCGAATTTCACCAAGAAAAAATTGATTACTTAGGATACCGCATTTCACACCAGAGCATAGAAATGGATCCTTCGAAAGTCCACTCGGTACTTGACTGGGAACCATCCAGTTGCAAAGCTTCCTGGGATTTGCAAACTTTTACCGGCAGTTTATCCCCGCTTTCGTCCAAATTGCTCTCCACCAAGCTCTTAAAAACGAAGGGAGCGGGAAACCCGAAACCGAAGCAGCCTTTGAACTGGACAATGGAATGCCAAACGGCATTTGAAAAACTTAAAAGGCTGTTTTCAGCATAACCGATCCAAAGCACCCGGCACAGAGAAACCGTTCATCATACAAGCAGATGCTAGCAATGTGGCGATAGGAGCCATCTTACTTCAGAAAAATGAGGAAGACCAATTACAACCATG